GCTCGCAGTATTTAGATATATCGTTGTCCAAACATATGCTAAAATCTGTGAAAAAAATCATTTCCTAGAGGCGCTATTTGTTCTCAGACGAACACTGTCCTCGTTTAAGACTGCGATCTTTACAAAGAGTAATGTCCCTATGATGTAGTTTGCTGTATCGGATTAGAAATGACTTGATATGTGAGTGGTCGGAACTAACAAGCAGTGACTGATTGCACACAAACAACAGCGTTGCATTCTTAACACTTATAAGGTTTGTAGTTGCTTCAAGTCTGATGGTGGAGTTTACAACTTTTGCAGTCCGAGGTCTGCGCGAAAAGTCGTGACAACTCTGTTAAAAGCAACAGCAAAGATGCAGAGAAGAATCAATGTGGTCGATTACAATTAAAGTAAACTGCTCGTAAATTTCGTGGGCTTCAGAAGCGAGACAACTAGGGGCAGTGTAGCTATTTGCAAGCAAAATCGATTGGTAGCCATGTAAACATCTTACTTACCATCTGAAATCAAACACTTACTAGGTGGAGAAAAAATGCAATCAACTTCTTGTTGACCTACACCCAACAGAAGTAACGTAAGCCATGACACCTCCGCCATGGTTCATGTATGTAGCTGACCGGTCGATACCATGGCAACTAAATCTGTCGATCGCTACAACCCCATCGTCAACATCTTCACGGAGCCACGTCTCTCGTAGCATAATTACACCTAGCTTCAAGTATTCAAAACAGTGCATTTTGCTCATAATCGCATCCATTTTGTTCATAACTGATCGGACATTTGAGATCATTATAGTGGGCATACTCAAACTCCACAAGGTGTTCGTCCTTAGAGCAACCCTCCATCTAGCACGAAGCTTTGTAGTATCCTTACTGTGCTCCTTGTAGATTCGCTTCAGTTGATTTTCTAAAGCTTGACTGTGCAAAATCGTGACGTTCAGTGAAGGCGGAAACCGGACCGTGTGATTACTGTAACAAAAAGTTGTGTTGTTTCGGGACGTTCCGTGGTACAAATGGCACATAGCAACGTGGTTACCTAGCGACGTTGCCAAGGGGGATGATTGTGCAATAGGTGGAAATAGCTGAGATCTGTGTGGGGAAAGTGATTGTGTGTCAATTATGATGCCATGGAAATGGTCACTAATGATGGCGCGAATGGATGCGGTGTGTTTTATTATTTCGGTGGCCATACTTGTTTTTTCCGCTATCGCTATGTCTGTGAATGATAGTGAGCTGTTCAAGTCTTTGGTTATTGGGAAGTATGAAAGTGTGGAAGACATGGAGGAGCAATTGCTACGTTTTCAGATTGCAACGGCGACTTGTTTTTCCCGATTCACCTCTATCTCTGCTGCGGCGTATCAGCGTGGAAGGCGCAAACAGTTGGTGGACGGGGACGCCTACGGTTACATCCTGTACCGTTGCGTGCATTGTGAACGTTCGGGATCGCGTGGCAAGCGGTAAGTTGATATTTGTACCACCTGTAGGCTAACGCCTGTAGATACCAAACTTACAAATGCAAAGCGCGATTCTCCTTGGTATTGAAGGATGGGAAATATGTGGTGCGAAGTTCTTTCATGATCCATAGTCATGATTTCCACTTGGGTAATCCGTGGCTGTATTCTCGCAATCGTCGGCTGTCTCCTGTGCAGGAGAAGGAGGTTCTGCGTTTGATGGAGAGTTTTCATAGCACACCCGACTTGCGTCACTTCATTCTTCAGGAGTACGGCAAACGTGTGACCCGGGCGGACCTGAGCAATTTGCGTACTCGTCATCGAAAATCGCAGTCATGTGAAGTGTCGGAGGTGGCACAAATGTTGGAACGGCACGGTGCTTCCCGACTGGTGTCTGAGGGCAATCAGATTCGTTATGTTTTCTTCGCTCCCTCGGTAATTCGTGGTATTGTGAGGCGTTATGGGGAGGTTTTGTTGTGCGATGCAATGCACCAACTGAATTATGGTGGATACATATTGTGGCACTGCATGTTCGTTGACGTCACAGGTCTGGGTATATCGTTTTTCTACGCCTTATTACCTGATGAGACGTCATACAGCTATGGGCAAGCGGCTGAGGCCATGCGGGAGATGGTGCCCAGCAGCATACGTTGCAAAACTGTGGTTATGGATAAGTGTGCTGCTCAGTTGCCCATTTGCCCATTTGTATTGTTGCAGATGGTATGGAAGTGCCCTGCAGATATAAGAAGGTGCGAATGAGAGTTTAACAATGTTATGGTACAGGTGGCTCACGGCCGTAAAGTGATGCCAAGGTAAGCTTGCATTATGCATGTTATGACCTTTGATTTAGACTGCATCATTTGTATCCATGTTCTACGGACTTTCACTTATGGCCTGCACCGCACATCAACGGTAGCAGTTCTTGTTCCCTTTGCGTTATGTGAAAGTTGCATCATCCGTCCTCCCAGGTAAGCAGTGTAATCAATGAGGAATGATCACATCACAAGTGATTTCACATGCGAAGCCCACTGCCTGATGAGTCCGCACCGCCACTGAGCCACCTCCGACGCATTGCCTGCAGCATGTTAACTTTCAGTCTGACTTCCTCAGAGGTAAGAGATGTCTTTAATCAAGACTGCGGTTTCACAGGTTACGTGATATGGCACGCCCATTGCTTGATGAGTCCGCACCGCCACTGAGCCACCTCCGACGCATTGCCTGCAGCATGTTAACTTTCAGTCTGACTGCCTCAGAGTTAAGAGATGTTTTTAATCAAGACTGCGGTTTCACAGGTTGTGATATGGCACGCCCATTGCCTGATGAGTCCGCACCGCTACTGAGCCACCTCCGACGCATTGCCTTCAGCATGTTAACTTTCAGTCTGACTTTTCGGACTCCATGTGTGATGGTCAGCAACTACGTCACGGTTACCGCCGATAAGTACTTCCTTCCACCTACGGTAACTGTATTCTGTGCCCTAATGACGCTTTTGATACCGCAGTCTATCCGTGATTCCTAAATGGGTGGTGCTGAAGCACCGCTCTGCCAGGACATCACATGTGCCGCCCCCATAGAATCCGTTGCACATTCTGTAAGCGTATGGGATATTTACAGATGCCTTTTAGAACGCCTCTCTCTGTGATGATTACTGCAATGATGCGCCACTACTACTTCCCGTCCGTGTAACGTGCTGCAACGTATATACTCCGTTGCACCTCTGGTTTGTGCCTCGCTTGTTCACCTTTTGACTTTCAGAACCGCTGGTGCGTACTTCAGTGATCAGTCACTGCTGGAATGCTTCCCATTTACATGTGCAACTGCGTAATTGCTTCTTCTGACGTCAGGTTTTTGTGTTCATCTGTAACACGTGGCTTTCAAAAATAATAAAAATATATACCCTTGCCATGCACGTCCACTGTGACGGTCTCTTCGTCCCCGGAGTAATGCACACATTTATGGGTACATTCATCCCCGTGTACTTGACGACATGTTTTCATGTGACATTTCTTTATAACCACATTGCATGATTATACTGCCTTACGTGGCGTTTCATTCAATGCACCGTTCATATTCACTTGGCATTGTCGACGTTGCCTCTGATGAGTATTCAGAAACCATTTCTCAGTGTTCACCCTTGGTGGGTTCTGAGCTAGATACACGCTCACTCACCCAGCGGTGGACATTTCTGAATGGTCCATACGTCCGTCACTTTAATAACACCTGTTTCGCCTATGTAACGAACAATGAGCATTCAACGTGGCTTTTCACGTATAACGTTCATCTGTATGCTTGTTTCCCTTGCAAATAGCCTCCTTAATGCCGTCTTTTGATGGCTTTTTCACACCACAGTATGTCAACCGCTGTGAGGAATGTGAATAAAGTTCCCACGGGGTTAAGGAATACGTAGCGTCGGTTCAAATTTTTTGCGCAGATGTCATTCGTTTCCGTGTTTATTTTGCACGCGTTTCTTTCCTCGCATAAACGCTAGCAGTATGCCAGGTTACTCCTCCCAGCGGGGCTCTATCCAGTTTCAGCAGATTTCCACCGAGTATCCAGTGCTTATTAAGTGCATATGCGGCGTCATGGGAGTCGTGTGGTGAGCTGTTGTTCGAAATATTTCCTACCTACTTAATTAACATACGAAATGCCTACAGCTGTCAACCCTTACCTAATAGTGATAAATCTATTGCTGATCCGTCTCCTATGGGATCTATATCATTGCGGTGCAGTGATGAAGCCAGCGATGAAGGTGCCATGGTAGGGAACAATTTCCATTCCCGGATAACGTGCCTCAATGCCGCCAATTAACCGAGACATACGCCATTTAATTTTAGGAGGGCGCTGAACAACACTGAGGCGGATGCATCCTTTCCGTTATATGAAGCAGCCGTTTAGCCACATAGCCAGTGTCGTGGTCAGGCCTCGTCACCATACCTCCTGAGTGATATAAGGCGTATAGAACAAATTCCGAAACTTGCCACCACGGTGATGCACCGCCAACGATGGAAGTCGGACGAATATCGTCTAAGGATGAGGACATCAGGAACCGTAAATGGAAAACTGCAATCGGTTTACAAAACCATCTCACGTATGGCAGCGGAGACACTTCACTGTCACATGTATGGTTACGAAGCACAAGTCTGGCTCACTGCCGCGAATTAACTGCATCTGTCATCGGTAAACAGTAAGTTGCAGAAAGCTCAACCCGTCAATTACGTAATCTCCACCACGTTAGCAGATGCTACGCGAAACCATATAGCGGATTTCATACCTTATATATACCTCACACGTGTCTCCTGGTATCCGTGAGGTCACCTTCCTCTTATAAACCATTTCATGGTATCCTTATGCCTGTATTCTCCATCTACCACACCGTCTCAGATAAGTCATCACGTGCGCACCGTAGCTAGTCATCGACATCCATATGCCATAACACTTAATGCGTCTTTCCATTGCAGTTACTTGTTGACGCAGTTCCACAGTCATGGTCCCCCACCTGTTTCACGGATGAACAAACCATTTCTCAGTGTGCTCCATTCGTGGGTAACGAGCCATGAAGCACCTCACCCACCAGGTCAGGAATATTTGTGAATGGTTTAAACATAATCTGCCTGCAGTGTGGCCCATTACCCTTCGTGCAACTGTGGATACATCGAAGTCTACGAAACCGTCTGCAATACCAAAGGTTAGTAAGCTTTTGTGAACATCCCATTACTACGTGTGGCTTGCTTACATTCAATAACCCACGGTTAACGTTTAGCACCGTAACACTATGACACGCATAAGTTTATTTCTAACAAGTAATTTCCCCGTAACAATCTCTCTGCATCGTACGTGCCCTGTCGTTTGGGAATCAACCCTCTGGTCTGCAGCAACAATTATAATCACAAGAACGGGGTAATGCAGTCCAAAGGACTGCTGACTTTTCAAGCCATTGGTAGAATGCTTGTTTCTTGGAATCCAGCAAACTGCATGCAATCGTCATGCATGCATAGGATTATGCCGTAGCCACAAATCACCGTGATGATTCTTGAATACTTGCACACTTCACCATGCCGGAGCCTATCCCCACACGTACAGCAGCGGCGATGTCCTTATTCAGTGACACATCGTCACAGGTACCATCGCTTTGATATCACTACTTATCTGGCAGAGACGCCGTGGTATGCACAGTGACACACAATAGCACAGTGTAATCACCTCTTGTGAACACCATATCGATAACATATCACTACTGCTTTCAAGCTGCCATTCACGGAGCGTTGCATTCGTTAACTCCATCGGGGGCATTAACTTCGATATCAAACCAGGTGCCCCTACGTTTTGCTCAGGATAAGTCATCAGCCGACTTAGATATACCGCTGAGTGCACGGTCCTATGTTTAATGACTAACAGTAACGGTTATCCTTCCTTCGAGTCGTATGAGACATCTACCAAAGTAATGCAGTAATGCTGCCCTTCTTCTATTACATCCACATTCCACTACCTTCGCAGTGTCACTTAAGTGACAGAATAACAAATCTGCAGGCACTTTTGCGGAGTGTATAATGCGGCGTGGGTGTGCACATTGATGTCATGCTGACTCCAGTAATGCGACATCATGGGTTTCGTAATCGCGCTTCTCTTGCGTAACTTCGTCGCGTTTGTATCATCTCTAACTACATCGTGTACGTTTAATCGTTATCGCGATATACTTGCTGACCAATTGACATCATACGCGAATTTAGATAACAGTTATGCCAGCTTTCGGTATGCATCACTGAATTCATTTCATTTCATGTCGTACATACCAATGATTAACGGGGACTTGGTATCACTATGTGGATGCGCTAGATGTGCATGTCGACAACGTGCCTTCTTGTTTCTTATCCACTTTCTCGTCCACACTAGCTCCATGGGGCAGTTGGTCGTCGCTGGAATTGACGGGGTGAACAGCCCTTGTGGCCGTGTGAGGCTCCATTAGCGGTTAAATGCACTCAGTGTACAGCGCACTACCATCCAGGCACCGACTTGTTTGCGCTTGATTCAAAAAATACAGCGTGTATGTGTTCACCTGTTAAGGGGTGTGCGCCGGCTATCTAGAAAAAAGCTGCCTTTCATCCGCTTGCCTCGCGGTCTGATTTCCGTCCTTTTACACTGCATATGCGGGGTGCGTAGTTGAAACCGTAGGTTGCGATGCACTACCCACTCATGGTTCCTCTGTAGGCGCATGTGCCCGGTAGCTAGTCTAACAAAAAACACCTTAGTAATTCCTTGCATATGTACACGTATACATATATGCATGCCAAAAATAATTATCCGTATATAGAGATATGCACTTATGCAACAGTATATTTAGATATGTATATACGTCTTCATTTATATCAACATGCATATACAAATACATAAAAATATCTATCGATTCATATTTTTTTATGCTCATCTGCATACGTAACATGCCTGTCAAGCCGTTCCTCGCCTCCTCAAAAAATATCAGTCAACTAGTTAGCAAGTGGTACACACATATGCATGATTGCTTTGGCGGCGTCCGTATCCGGATTTGCCTGTCACTGTGAAGTCCACGGGGACAGTCACAGGACGCCTGCGCCTACAAAAGGGACCATGGGTGGCTTGCGCTGCACCACCCATAGTTCCACCCACACACCCCATATCCAGTGTAAACCCAATGGAATAACACAGGGTGGCATGCGGATTGGAGGCACGTATCATCAACCGAGCCCGCATACACTCCTTCAACAACCAGAACGGAAGCATTCCAGCGTAATTGGGAAATCCTACAAACCAGACGTACACCAGGCGGTGCCTGGACCGTAGCCCGTTCCACACAGGTTGCATGGAACCATTCTTTGAGCCTACCACCGTCACGCGGACGATGCACTCCGTCCCCTTCAGCGACGACCAACGCAATGATTATCATTTATTATTGGTGTTAGTGAAGGGGATTATTTACTTAGGTCCTTCTAGGTGGATTTCGTTGCGCATTGCTAAGCAAACAGGAATAATTTGGAAGGCCTTCAGATTCCCAGCTGAATATAGCACCTTCATATATTAAGTCATAAGCTGTCGCCGTATTCGGCATTATATATATATATATATATATATATATATATATATATATATATGTATAGAGAGAGATAGCGTATTTTTGTATGCCGTGTAATGGACCTTTTGAAATGTACGTACCTACATATGCATGATTACATACATATATCGGTTAAGGTATGCATACGCACTACATATATATATAGGTTTATATAAATATATACATATATACCGCCATGTATATATGTATATATATGGACATATATGTATATGTATATATACATATGTATATATATTTATAATTATAACTTATATTGCCATATATATATTTATTTATAATTATAAATATATATATATACATCCATACACAGATACGTTGAACTTTAACGCAGGAGCATGCAAATTTATATACGTAAATAGGTATACATATATATCTATATAGGTATATAGGTATAGGTATATAGGTATATATATATATAGATGTATATATACATACAGAGGTATATATATAGAGGTATATATGTATATATATAGGTATACCGCTATACATATATATATATAGCATTACAATTATAAATAAATATATATACATCCATACACAGATATGTTGAACATTAACGCAGCTGCTTGCAAATTTATATACGTAAATAGGCATATGTGTGTAAATACCCACATTTGCATTTCAGAATCACGCGTACAATCACCCCAGTTTATACGCGGTTAACATATTTATCTCGCAAGATGAACATGTTCCACATGACCCTTACTTGCGTAACACTTCCGAACATACTCAAACTAACAACAAACCGTTCGCACAATTACGTATTCACTTTCACCGATAACAATAATTAATCCCTATCACCTCATGATCGTTTATAAGTAACCATTTACAGATTAGGCATTACGGTAACATAATATAGCCGTTATCCTACATTCCGTATTAAATTTGGTTATTTCATTCCGTATTTCCTCAACTATGCACATAGAGATGCCCTCGTCATCCCCGTTACTCCTTTCGAACTTCTTACCATTTACCAATTCACATTGACTTACAGGTTACCTTCAAGACATCCAAAGTAAGTTTCAAACCTATTAATTAAGCATTTCCCATCATTCGGAATAAACTTCCTACATGTCTTGCTTTAGAATCTCGCATTTCATATCTTCCGTGAGCATTGTTAGTGAGACTAAAATTCCGTGCAGCTTTCTCAACCTTATATCTACACCATTGTTAAAAGTGATTCCTGTTTACAGTACACGGTTAGTTGCGGTTTCAATAAATGCAACATTTTAATGCGTTACATTATCAGAAATACCGGCATATCTGTCGACCGCATTTTCCGCACATTCCCATCTGTTGATTTTCCGCCACCATCTCGGCCTTCTTTATTTCAGTAACTTTACCTCAGTAAAATGTTTACACATCATATCCTATGTAGTACTACTAAACGATTTACATTAATTTATGCTACCTATCCATAGCATTATGAGGGCAATTCATTCACGCCGCAAAATGGGTGTACCAATTGGCACCACAGAAATTCAAATATAACCGCGTTAGTGCAATAAGAGGTTCCCAAATAAGGTAGCGTGGAATTTACCTACCCGACGAACATTAAAATGCGCGCGTTAGTTCCATGAATAACGGTTAAGCAAACTTGAAATTGTTCTATTGCGAAGTACCGCTTATCAGCAAGTACATAAGCACTTTTATGCCGCAAGGGACAATAAAACCCCCGTTAAACCACTTAAACCAGTAGATGTGGGTCGTTGATTGCTTGTTAAGTGTGAGTCCCAAAGTTAATATAGGCCAAGTAAGCAATGTGCCAGCTTGTAAATGACTTAACAGTGCAAAATAAATGAAACTGGCACGTAGATGCATCTGGTAAGAAATGTCGCGCAAACGTGTGCCTTAGAGTGCACTCCTTACATCAGAATCTGCGAGTATAAGGTTGAAATTTAGAGAGGCTTTCCTGCAGAAGTGCAAGAATATAAACATTCTAAGGGTTTAAAACTGAATGTCATCCTTGCGCACTGGATATCGTAATCTTCTCGTTATCGTACACATTTACCGTATATACCGCCATAGCGAGTACAAAAGGCAACATTCTTAGGGCACGAGCTCTGGCCATCCCGATGGCAATACGGCTCGTTACCACTAGACTAGCTGGCTGTTCTTGCCGCTGATGTCAGCTTAAAAGTCTTCCGGAAATGCAAGGACAAACAAAGCTTGTAAACACCGATGCAACGGTCACGCTATTTAGACAGCCAATATGTTGCATAACAAGATATCAGCATTTCGTTCGCCAGTGTTTGCATAATCTTGTCAATGCACGCTTTTCTATCTAAAACGTTGTTCGCCAGTACTTATACTATACGTCTACTTGCACAGCGGCTGTAACCTGCAACACCCGCAAAATTTGATTTCGTTTGTATCCAACTGTTGTCCCGCCCAATGAAGCTCATGTCCTACTTTATGTATAACTTCGAAATGTTTCGTCCAGAAAATATAATATCGGTGTGTTTTGAAATCTATTCATCAGCATTATTTTAAAGGAGGTCAGCTCTTAAAGAAACGATGTTTCTTATTAAATAATATTAAACAAGCTCAGCGCAAATTTGCTGCCACATTCATACGGCAACTCACAAATGGGACTAAATTCATACGCTCAGAACAAAACGCCGCAGGGTCTGCATATTCGGGGATAACGAGTTACTATTACTTGCAACGCATTTCGTCTGCCACTAAAAGACTGCATGCAAATGCCCACTCCAACGCTCTTACTCATGCTTAACTTCAGCATTTTGCGGTTCTTTCTGAGAGCACGAATTTCGCCCCAACTGAGACTACATTTAGGCGCTCCCCAAATTGATAAGGCCTTTTCCCCAGCTTATGGTAATTAAGTTCTGTCGCTCTTAATGCAGTTCCACCATCCCAAGATGCGTGCGCATGTGCACACATCCAAGCTCCCCAAAGCCTTGCCACGTATAGCATTATCGAAGTTGGTAACTACATAATACACTATCCCTCTGACACCTACATATCCGTCATTTGGTGTTGCAAACTATCTGCTGGTACCTCAAGCGCTTTTGTGTGGGACCCAAACTTTCTCAATTGACCCAACTTTGGGGTTATCAGAATCCGTTGTTCCAAAGTATCGCACCCTCCAGCGGCTGCTTTACCTAGCTGTAAAGCGTAGCATGAGTACCCCTTCGACGTTTAAGGCAAAGATACCAAAACCGTAAGGAAATTGTAAGGAAAAAGCAATATTAAAACGGTTTTGAAGCCGATCCTAATGTGGCACTCGCTTTAGATTTTCTCTCCTTGATTCTCTTTGTCCAAAGGCGAATCTAACCGGCAAAGGAACTTTCAGTGCATTTAGCGAAACATATGCGCATTACAGCGTCTAAAACAGTCGTTCTGTTCAATACAAAGTTTTATTTATCATAGCACGAACGAAGTGCCCATCTAAAATTAGTTGCGTTACGTGGGCTTATAACCGTTTCACTTTCTTACACGGACCTTCTGCTTGACCGTTCGGAGTACCTTCCTGAGGAATTCCGTCATGAACTTTCTGCTCAGTTGCCCGAAATAGGCTGCTGAAACGCGGTATATGAATTCTGTCCTCATTAACTGCTGCGTGCCTTCGCGTTTCTTCAACCGCGTGGTCAGCGTAGGGAGCTTATCGACTGCTTCCATTGGAAGAAGCCCAGGTCTGGTGTCAGCCGTCCTGTCACTGGGCAAACGGCCATCCATTGAGTCGAACCTCAGTTTCATGACAAGTCATGCTTCGCCAATGCGAACGTACCCATTCGTCGGCGGGTGGAGTCGGTCCGTAGCTGGCTGATAATATAAACCACAACTTATTACAAACAGCTTTATTGGCGTACTCGATTTATGGGGCAATTCGTCCGTAGCGCGGGATCTTTGAAATTAATGGTCACCACGAGGACACTTTTCTACAAAAGCCTTTTACTTTAAACGCCTGAGATATTCACATGTTTTGTTAGCCTGCGGTGGATATTCCAGCCCCAACATGGGCGGTAGAGGGTTATACTCGATGTCCAGACTGTACGTGGCAATGGAACAAGACGACTTTATGGGAGTTTCGCATTCCGGGCAACGTGCAGTAACACTAATATTACGGATAGCTGAAGTTGTGGTTTCCTTTTACGTTTACTGCCCCGCTCCTTAAAATATTGCGCCGCTCGACTGTTGCTCCGGTGGTTCCACTAAAGCAATCTCCAGGCCTTTTGCAGTCGTGTAGTCCTTTAAAACCTGTTTAAGTAGTGAGACGGCATAGAAAAGTGTCTTGATGCCTCCGCGCTTTCTGCAGTAAGGTTGACGTAGGTAGCGGACGGTTGGTTAGGGTCAAACCCTCTGTTGGCCTTAAAGGCAACTAAAACCACCGAACTAGCGAGTATCCAACCATCCAGGTGCAATGTGCGACCGCATCGACGCCACAACCGCGTGCTACAGCCAATAGTAAAGTTTCATTAATGGTCACCTATATACAAACCTGTAAGAGCGTTAGAAAAACGCGGTAACCATAATATTTTAATTTGGCTGGAATGTCGAAAAGCAGACAGATCGTTATCTCGGAAACCAAAGCCAAAAGTTCACCTAACAACTTCAATATTTTGATGTCGTAGAAGATGCAATCTGTAGGTTTAATCATACAGGACGTACGACTGATGCATAATCATCATGTATTTGTGCTATCTTCCGCTATACCTCCACGGAAAACATTCCTCTGTGCGCGGGAAAGGCTAAAGCATATCCGCCCCATTTTCTTCGGAAGCGACGGTGATGCTTATTCTGCCTGACGTAGCAAGTAATTCGGTTATAACTACGCATAATATTCACTTACTTATAGGCAGTCCATTTAAGATAGTTAACAAACACCATTTGGAATGTCCATTTCCCATTAGCACTGTCCATTTGCGGCCAATTCTTGCGCAGGGGCCACCAGTGGCCTACCCACCTACAAAGACCGAGTGCGCTTGGTGAAGAAGGCACAACGCCGTCGCTGGAACTTAGATGAACTAGTGGAAACTGCTTAACTTGGGGCGCCTAACCTGCGCCGGTCGTTAGAGCAGAGATTCATATGCTTTTCAAAAGTATTCTGAACTCCTCTTTGATTGGTAAGCAAGGCGATGACGGGTTTATCAGCTCCGTGAGGGTAACCGGTGGAAAACTGTCTCACAGCGACTTGCATCGTTTCTGCAAGGAATGGAAGGCGGTGGAGATGTTAAAAGCACTCCTTCTTGCTCCATAATAACCCAAAGGACGTTAGGATGAAAGCGCATCGCTAGCGTCACCTTCCTGCGGATTAGCTGATGTTCTTCGTTCTAGTCCCAAACTAGCGCTTGTCACA